AGCCCCAGTCGAAAATTATCGCAGAAACACAAACGTTTTATAAATGGCACCCATTGAAAGAGATGGAAATGCACAAAGATCCGAGCAAGTGGACAACTGCGAACTTGCTGCCATCAGAACACTGTAAAGAAACAGTCCAAAGGGCAACTAGTAAGTTGCACTAGATCAGACGTTCGTTTAAAATAATCCCCCCATGATCTCTTCGATAAGATCTTCGGCGTCTTCGTGAGACCAGATTTAGATTACAGACTACCAAGTTGGACACCGTGGATGAAGAAAGATGTCAACCTCCTCGAAAAGGTTCAGCGGAAGGCGACGAAGATGGTCGCCGGTCTTAGGACTTACCGTACCAGGACAGATAGGAAAAACTTGACTTCTTTTCCTTGTCTTACAGGCACTTACAATGGAGCCTGCTCTGAACATTGCGGATAATCCGTGGTCATGGTCCCTGCTTCAAACCGGAGGATGTCTTCGAGTTTGTCTGTACCGTTTACCCGCGCGGTCATCCTTACAAGGTCACAAGCGATTGCACTCGATTGAACCGCAGGTTTTTCTTTAGCTAAAGAGTGGTACGACCTTGGCACTCGTTACCAAACGAGATTGTTACCACCGACACTATATCTGATTTTAAAAGAAAATTTGATGGCACTATATTTGACAAAAGGCCACTCTCACAACATGAATTCGTAATGCCAGCATTATAAAATGTTCTTGGTTCTGTTTTTTTCATACTTTGTGACGCTATAACTCATTCAAAGCTGTGTTATCTTTTGACTCTACATTGTAAATGTCTACAACTGTATATTGACTGTAAATATACATATATACCTTACTAATAGAAGCGAATATACGCGTCCCTGGACATAAATGAGAAGATAAGGCGATCTCGGGAACCATTGTTTTATCGTCCTGACGTTTCAAAAGCGTACAGGCTTCCGGCAGCAGAGGTGGTAATTGTACCGTGCCTCACAGTATTTATAAGTGTTGGCAGTTGAGGTCAATAGGGGTTAAACCAATGCAGGGGAAGGGGGGGAGGGGTTAGGAGGGATGCTCAATCATCGTGCCCTGTGAAGCGTAATAACCTCAGTCAAGGGGTCTCCTGTCAGCTTCCAGTGTTCGCGCTTGTGCAGCTGTCATTGGTCGAAGCCGTCGTCCCAGGACGGGAATCCTGCTTGCGTTCTTACTTCCATCCGGTTTCACACTTGCAGGCTGACCGGATGAGCTGGCTGAGCTGATGATTGCTATGTCCGCTTGTAGTTCAGCTACGCGTGTGTCCACCATCGGTTCGCAAGTATGCGGATTCGCGTTCCGTCTATGTTCTCGTTTGCTCTTTTCTTCACTGAGCTGCGTTTGTACAGCTTGGTAGGCTGTGGGAAGCGCCACACAATGGTTGATTGAGGTTGTCCCCGTGTCCCAGGCCTCGATTGCTTCCCTGACTACGCGGTCATTTCCTCGAGCCAAAATTTCGGCATTCTGGAAGGCGAATGTGTGTCCGGAATTTGCGCAGTGTTCCGCCACCAACGATAGTGGGTCCATTGTCCTTACTGCCCTGCAGTGTTCTGCCATTCGGGTCTGCAACCACTTGCCAGTCTCTCCGAAATAGTCGACCGCGCACGAATCGCATTTGACCCGGTAAATGACGTTTGCGGTTTCACCTCGAGGCAATGGGTCCTTCGGCCGCATGACCAGATGTCGTATTGTTGCCTGTGGTCGGTGGGCGATGCCGACACCCAGTCGTTTCAGTATACGGGAGACTGGCATCAATTTAAGACAGCGCACGCCATACTTTTGATTGGTCGGTTGCTGGACTTCGGTTCA